TGTGTGTGTGTGTGTGGAGAGGAAAAAGAAGGATTGTGTAGATGTGGGTGGATTTGTGAGTGTTTGTTCGACAGATTCTGACAGAGAAAGTGTGTGTTGGTGTGTGTATGTTTGTTACGGTGAAGACCCAAGTGAAAGTGTGTATGTGTGTGTGTATATGTTTGTGTGTATGCATGCATGTAAGTGTGGGAGTTTTTTTGTGTTTCCAAAGTTTGTGCATTTGATTTCTTAGTCTCTTCATTGCAATGTGTGTGTGTGTCTGTGTATGTGCGTGTGCGTGAATGCATGCGTGTGCTCGTGGACCGAGCAAACCCCCCATCTGCCACAGGGTGGGCGGCTTGCCACACAACGACAATACACACCAACATTTTTGTAACTGTGGGCGTTCAAAAGGCTCGGAGAGCTGCAGTCCTGCCGCTCGCTCTGTTCCTTTCTCTGTGATCCAGCAGAATCTGTCTTCTGAGGAGCACGAAGAACCTCTGTTTAAAGGGAACACTTAATTTGGCTTTTTTAATTATATATATTTTGATCTAAGAGACTGTACATGTGATAAGTTGTGGAACTGCTAAAGCAGATCACTACAACCAGCTGCTGCAAAAATGTGCTGTCACAGCTGCAACATGATCATTGAGATACGTTTTCCTTCATTAAAGTTCCTCCTCCAATTGGTTTTGCCAAAGACTCAGATTGTAATTCAAAGTGTTTGACAATAGTACAGGAAGAATCCTGCAGAGTTCAACCTTTTTGGTAAGATCTTCTTTCACCATAGTCAGCTGTTAGCTACATTGCTGTTTTTAAAGCCACCAGACAAAAAAAAAAGTAGTTTCACTGTGCAGAACATGGGAGTTGCTTGTCTACCAATTCAATTTCAATTTACAAGCTTTATTGCCATGACTGTAACTGAGTGACCATATTGCCAAAACATCAAAAAATAATACAAAGGTCTATATAAATACAATCTACCTCTGCCTCTGTAAAAATATATTTTGTGTGAGTGTTATTGTGCCTTAAATACTTATTGTGTAGGATCCAATCTTACCCTTTAAACAGGAAAGAGGCACAGTATAAAGAGAACATCCTGGTCACAGTGGACCACCAACTTCCTCTTTCTGTGGTTAAAACTCCTCAGGAGTTTGGAAGAGAGAGATGTTACCTCCTTTAAAAAAAAGATCTTAAAAAAGGTTTATCTCTGGAGTGACGCTTTCTGTAATGTTTCCAGACATTAATAACAGTGTAAGTGGCACAGCAAGCACTTTTAGTAGACCCTCTTTCATTTAACTCATTTATCCTGAAGGATTATGTTGACTACATTAAAGCTTGTTTCACAGCTGCCACCTGAAGCAATCTACTACAGTAGGACTAAAACCTTTTCTCTCTATATCTGTCAATTACTGTAGATCCTAAAATACTGTAATGACCCTTTAGAGGACCCTTTATCAGTTAAAATATTTAATCTTGCCATGACAAAATCACATTTTGCCTGAAAGATGGTGCTTGAGGAAAGTTCATGTAATAATACAGAAATTAAATTTATTCATTCAATAGATGTAAAAAAAAAAATTAAAAAAATGATAAACCAGAAGGTGATTCTGCGGGAAAGGTGTAGTTTCATCCTCTGGGGACTTTGAAGATCTGCATAGATTTTATGGACAAAACAAAGAGATTATAATATTATATATTTTTATTTTTATTGTGGTGATACTGCATTGGTGTGAAAATTAGGATAAAGACTTGTAGATTGAATAATGAAACGTGTGTTGGTGAAACATGTGTCAGTGAAACCCTGGAATCACTGGTAAATAATCAACTTCAAATATTTCTCTCAAATTTTTCTGTCTTGCGCCATCATCCTTTTGGCTTCAGACCTTTGCACAGTACTGCCTCTACTGTCACTTTAGTCGTTAACAATATTGCCACTAGTGTAGACAAGAAAATGTATTGTGCTGCTGTTTTTGTTGACTTGTGAAAAGCGTTTGATACAGTCAATCATGGTCTTCTCATTCAGACTCTTTATAACATTGGGTTTGACGCCAGCATTTTGAAATGGTTCCAGAACAACCTGTCTGATAGATTACAGTGTATAAAGGATGGGACTATTCAATCTGAGTTTCTGCCATTAACAGAAGGCGTTCCACAGGGTTCAGTTTTGGGCCCTATCTTATTTACAATCTATATTATTGTTTCGTCTATGACAGACTTTAATATTCATTTTTATGTGGACATTATTGTACTTCATTGTTCTACTGATTCTGTACAGCTTGCTGTAGAGAAACTGCAATTTGCTTAATACTCTTCAGAATGCATTTATCAGCTTGGTCCTTAATGCCAGCAAAACCAAGTACATGCTCTTCACCAAAGCCAGAGATATTGATTTAAACATGCTACAATTATCCACACTCAATGGCAACTGTATTGAAAGGGTCACAGTATATGAATATCTTGACATTTGGCTGGACGAATCATTTACATTTAAGCATCATGTGTAAAATCTCACTGGCAAACTTCGGCAGAAACTTGGGTGTGATAGGAGTTTACAGTAATGCTCATTCAGTGGAGTGACTCTTTTAGAAGTTGCCATGAAGACTTGGCTTTAAAGAAACAAGTTTCAGCATGTTCTCATACAAGGTATTTAATACATATTAGACTTCGATGTCTCAAAAAGACCATAAAAGTCCATTTAATCTCTGTTTCTTTTACACTCTGTTGTCTGCCCCTTTCTGCCAGAAATACTTTCTAAGTCACGCTGAATGTTATGAAACAGTCACAGTGTTGTTATATTTAGTACTTTTTGTTCAGGAAAAGATTAGGGTGTGGTTAAAAGTCTTGTGTTGTTTGACCCATCCATCAACTCCCACTACCATCCTACTCAGCCTTCTCTTACTCTTTCACTACATCACCTGACTCTACACGTGCTCGACAGCGAGAGCAGCCTTCTGAGTGTTTACTTTGGGGTTAGCATGAAGCCCTGTGAATCTTAATATGTGATTCATCACTTTTGAGCTATCCAAACAATTTCATTTACATCTGAAATTAAGTTATTTTTTCAACTATTCGCTGAGCTTGTGAGGAAATACGAGTTCACTTTCACTGCCTGTTTGATGCCCCTCGGGTCCAATCATTGTTTGCCTTTCTCCAGAGGGAATTTACTTTTCTTATCCGTGGCTCCAAGAACACTTTGTGTTTGGAAATGGGTGTGTGCTTTCACGTGCAGGCTAAAAGCAAAGGCTTATAGGATGTTCCATGTTAATTATAATGTTTGATAGGCTGTGAGATAATAGCCATGAGAGTGGAAATATGTCCAAAGTTAAATGCTAATTTCATCAGGACACTGACATCTTTGCATCAACTACCCCTGGTGTGACCTGTTGGCCTCTTCATTCATCACAAAAACCAAGTCTTAATTCTTAACACAAGATAAGATAAGATGAGATAAGACAAACAACAAAAACTCAGAGGGACATTTTTTAAGTGAAAAAAATTCTCTGTTCTACAATCTGTAAAACATGGGCTGTAATATGGCTAACAAAAGCAGGTAAATGCAATCTTCAGTAATAAAATCATTTTCGTTTTTGATGTAGTTTTTCTCTTAATACAGAAGCCTAAGACGACATGCAGCTATTCATTTTAACTGACCCTGTTTTCCTGTAATAACAAGTACATTTTGGTTGTTTTCAAGAGATTTGGACTTATTTATCTTGTTCTCAAAAGATAAAAATTCAGTTTTTCCTATTCATATCAGACTTTTTCTTGAGATCTCCAGAAATGTACTCTTTATCAAGACAAAAACCACTGTATTATCTCAGTAGATCAACATTAATAATTCAAGATCTTGAGAAAACCATCGGAAATTACTCTTTATAACAATAAAACTGTTTAAACTAAAATGAATAGATTTAGGTGAATTAATCCTTATTTTTTAGGAAAATCAGTCTTATAAGTGAAGCAACGTATATAAGAATGGAGTAAAATAAAATGTATTTCTGCTTTGGGCTTCCGGAGATTAAGGACAAAAACCCCAAATGCTGTTATTTTGTCATATAAAGCCCTGTTATTTCAAATAATATTACATTGAAATGTGTATAAATGTGACTCAAAAACTTAAAGAGAACACATTTTATGGTACATCTGGTTCACCATAAAATAGCCTATTAGTAATTAGAAGGTGTTTTCTGGTTTTGTTGTGATTGGTATATGCGTCATACAACCATAATCGATGTTTTCTTTGGCCACACCATTTAAAAAAAAGAAATATGTCTGAATTATACCAGTTCCCTAAATTGATGGATTTGTAGCTGCAGGTTTTCTCCCACTCAGCAATCTACCATTTACTCTAAGAATAAATCCTTATAAAAACATCCCTTTTAATTCTCCTATCCTTTAAAAAAAAAAGGGGGGGATACCATCAAGACCACGCAGCTTCTCCAGGAAGTTAATTCAGCAATTATTTCCTCACTAATCACGCCATCTATCTCAGCGCGCCAACAATAGCAAGCCTCAGTCAGAGCAGTAATCTGTTTCTGACAAGGCAGAGGAGAAAACAAATGGCTGTGTGCAGTCAGTGTGTGGGCTCAGCTGGCACAAAGACAAAACAATGTAACACACTTTACCCGGATACCAGCCATATATGCAGAGCTGGATCCTCTCACCTCACCGGAGAATCCATGTATGGAGAAAGTGGGACCGGAATTCCGAATCATGGAGCTTTAATGTTTTTCAATCCCTTACACGAGTCTGAGCAGCAGGAGGCACGTGCTCGTGTTTGTGATTAATTCTGGAATAAAGACATAAACATCGTGTTTATTATCTGAGAGTTTGTATTTTATTTTAGCTGGATCATGCATTTCAATTGTATCGACGCTTCGTCACGGCGAGCTCCGCCAGTCCTATTTCTGGAGTTCCCTCTTCTTCTTTTTTTTTAAGGCCAAGTCCATATTTGGAAAATGACGTAACGGGAGACCCAGAGATTCCCTTTATAACCATACTGCAGCATCCAGGAGCTATTAACAAGAGATGAGAGGCGGAAGAGACAGGGGTTAATAGAGAAAGATGAGGGAAATTAGTCATTGTGTTTAAGGCAGAAAATACAACATTGACTGGAATGTTTAATTAGTTTCAACCGCCTGATCTCCATCTCAAAGAAAGGATGACTGCTAAGATAGCCGATGAAGTGTCTATGTCTCTCAGCGGAATTGTAGACAGTTTTCCTAAAGATGTGTACGCAGCGGAAAGGGAGATGCCTTCACAGATTGTTTTTAAACAAGAGGCTGTAGGTGAGGACGAACATGAAAGGAAACCTCCTCTGGATGAAAGTGGTAAGGTTTTATTTCCCCTTAGGGTTGTTTGGATGGAAAATTGTGACGTGGACTGCAGCGGAATGTTTAAAAAAAAAAAGAAAAATCAATCAGTCTATAGGGTCTATTCTAATGTATTTTTGCACGTGTTTCAGGTGATCTTCTGTTCGAGGATAGGAGTCCAACTGATCTGCTTCTCCACGGAGACTTGGCACAGTACGTGGCAACTTTACGCACACACCCTGTGGCGTTCAGCGGGAAGTTCTCGGTGGACTCCAGAGGCGCAGGTGGACCGTGGACACCGGGGGACATCATCAACGTGGTCAGTGCTGACATCGCCACCCCGGGGCCCGTGACCGAGTCCGAATCTGCTTCAGCATCTCCAGATCTCTACGCAGCAGGTGAAAGCGGAGGAGGAGTAGACGCAGCGGACGCGGGGGAAGGCACCATGGCGCACGGTCAGCCCGACATCAGCCACATGTACGCGCCTCCTCATCCTCACCCTCACCCCCATCCCCATCCTCACTCTCACCCAGCAACCTCCTACTCATGCAGCGGGGACATATACCAGGACCAATCAGCAGGGGGATACCTGGCTACGTCCACCTGCGCCATGTCCTACCACGCGTCGCCGTCCTACAGCTCCGTACCCAAACCAACAGTTGACGGCGCCGCACTTCTGTCACTCATGCCTGAGTACGGAGGCTTCTACCAGCAGAGCTGCCAGAGAGACATCCAGACGGCTTTCCCGGAGAGGAAATCCCTCCCGTACCCACTGGACTCCCTCAGGGTTCCCCCTCCTCTTACGCCTCTCAACACTATCAGGAACTTTACGCTCGGTGCGCCCTCGCCTGCGACAGAAGGCCCGATGGCTGCAGCTTTTCCAGGCCACCAAAACCTCCCTCTCAGGCCCATCCTAAGACCAAGAAAGTACCCGAACCGGCCAAGTAAGACACCAGTCCACCAGAGGCCGTACCCGTGCCCTGCAGAGAGCTGTGACCGCCGATTCTCCAGGTCGGACGAGCTGAGCCGGCACCTGCGCATCCACACCGGCCACAAACCTTTTCAGTGCCGCATCTGCATGAGGAACTTCAGCCGCAGCGATCACCTAACCACCCACATCCGCACGCACACCGGGGAAAAACCCTTCTCGTGCGACCAGTGTGGGAGAAAGTTCGCGCGGAGTGACGAGAGGAGGAGGCACATGAAGATTCATCTCAGACAGAAGGAGAAAAAGTCCTCTGCATCCTAATCCAGCGTGCTTGGCCTGAAACAGAACACAAGCTCTATCAGCTCCTAAAACATCCTGCCTGCCAAGTGCCAACACAGCTCACAGTTTATCCCACAGTCTGTTGATCTCACAAAGAACATGAAACAAATCTCTTTGGAAGCCATATTTGAAAAGAAATCAGGGAGTATCCGAGTTTCGAATGATGTGATGTGATTCATTATTTTTTAACAGAAGCTAAACAATATTAATCACTCATCAGTCACGTGATCATTAATTAAAAAAAACATCTCCACTCTCCAATAACAAAGTCATCTAGTAAAATAGAGTATTTTGGGGGTTGAAGTGACTGAAAAGTAAAAGTAAAAGTGTGGTTCACCTAATTCACTGTTTGGTGATTTTAGTAGGTGAACAGTTTCTGAATGTGTGCCTCAATGTGCTCACCTGCTACAGCCTGCTTCAGCTCTGTGGCAAGGCATTATTGTGTCTTTAGTCTATGCTTCATGATCTCAGGGATTCAGTCACAATTCAGGCTGCAAAGACGAAACCAAATTCCTGCAAGTCAGCAAAGTGGTTCAGGGGAGTTTACTGCTGCTGCTCTGCCTCCAGCTTAGTGCAGTTTGGTTTCAGATGCAAAACTTTTTAATCTAAAAAAAACAAAAACAATACACGTATAGTCAAGAAGTTATCAGGGGGAACGTTTGGATGAAACAAAAATAATATTTTCTTGAAAAACTTTGAATTATAATAGACAACACAAATAAATTTAGTTTTTAAGGATTGACAAGAGACATATACACAGCCTTGTATTTTTGCAATGCCACACATTCTTTCTTCTTTTTTTTCAAATGATCATTTATATGTGTGAGCACTAAAATAAGTCACCATGCAACAAGTTGATAGAAATAGAAAAAGATGCAAAACTACTGTAATTACATCCACTGGTTTAGTATAACTCTGTCTGTTTCACAAAAAAAAATATTTTTGGACAATTTTTGACAAGTGTGGGAGAGTAGTGATGTCAGAGTACACCTCTGACATCACAAATCAGGACGGGGCTTAAGTGGGAAACTTTATTGTAAGATGCAGCAAAATTGAGCTTTTTTTAAAAACCTGGTTTTGTATCCTATTTGAAATGTAAAAAAATATAATGATATGTTTGTTTACTGCACTCGATAAACAGTTTGTTTTAGAGCTCGGTAACCTTGTTGGAATTTGATGAGACTGTAGCCTAATAATCTGTTTCTTTCTGGTTACATTTTTGCTATTTTTGGCTGCTTTCAGGAGTGTTTTGACTTTTTGATCCGATCAGCTTTTTCTTCCTGATGAATGTGAGAGAAAGCAAGAGATAGAAAGTTGTGTTTTTTGTTTTATCATTTTTATGCAATCAAGTCGAGCACTAAAGCTTTTATTCTGCTGGACTGATGCTTCTTGTCGATGCAAATAAATGTTGACTTGTCGAGTTGTTGTTGCCTGCCTGCCTTTATCGATGCTACAATACAATATCAACTCTGTGTCTATTTTATGTTCCTGCTGGAGTTTTATAAATCATGACAGATAATCTCTCAGAGCACGTTTACTCTGTTGGCAGAGAATTTAAGATGTTAAAATTTTCCTTTTCTTCTCATGAAAATGTGTTCAGTCCCAAACAGAACTCCATTAAATAAAAAGATTTTGTTGACCCCTGCGGAGTTCATGACTAAACTTCATGCATAAGAAATGCTTTCTTACCAAAACAAACACCCTTCATCTTTATTTTGATCAAACATTTCACTCCCCTGGATCATCACAGTGAAAAAAGTAAACAAAAAAAGAAGTCGTCACAGCAGTTATTGTCCTCCTCTGACACAGACCTGAGCCGAAACAGAAAATAAAAAAATTCTATGAAGGTGTAATTAGTCTTCTCGCTGAAGGTCTTGTTCGCTTTTGTAGCTCATAAAGAATCATCAGCACTAACTTAAGTGTGTTTCATAACCAGCTCACAGGAGCTTTATAAAAACATGCACTTTAGAATAAGTTCTCCACAAAGCATGACATTAGACATTTTTTAAATGTATTTTTAAGGGGTGGGGGGGTGGGGGAGGTTGGTGTTAGCCTTTATTTAGACAGGACAGCGAATAGAGGAAATCAGGAAGAGAGTGGGGAACAACATGTAGGGAAGGACCTGCATGTCGGACTTGAACCCGGGACTTTAGCCTTGGAGCGCGACCTAACCACTATATTCCATCAGCGCCCCATGAAATCTAACTTTAATCTGCACTGTGAGGTAGTTGTTTGTGAATCCTTAATTCCTTTCAATATATTGCAACTAAATCAAATCAATCACTGGACATCTTAGAAACATCATGACCGCAGTGTCCTCTTTACATCATGTCCAAGCTCCTGAGACGCCGGACTGACAGGGTAAACTTTCTGTGAGGGACATTACAGGAGTGCTTTGTGTGAAAACAGGTAATGCTTTAAGGCCCTGATTGTCAACTGCTTGGGGTCGGGACCCAAAAGTGTGTCATGGAGCCATTTTCAGTAGGTTGCGTTTGTGTGCCTGGGAAAAGTTATGGCAAAAAGTCAATGTAGTGCATGAAGCCTTCAAAACGGGAATGGGATGCAGAAACAAATCCCTCTGCTCATAAAGACTAACCTGTTACTGTAACTACTCTCAAAGATAACTGGTATGGAAGCTCTGTCCTGAACACTGCCAGCTCTGAAACAAAAACAATGTAGGTGTCACACATAAAACCAGCATTATTCATGTTCACGTAATGACTAAGGAAATTAAATCATCACAATTTAAGGACTTCCAGGATTTCTATATGTTTACAAATGCCCCTTTTAAGTGTCGAGTCACACATTGATTAGCTTTCATTTTGATGTCAAGCTAATGCAAATAAAAATGAACACCTATTGATGATTCACAATAAAAATATTTTCTTGGAGAAAGTACAAGCCCTTATACTTTTACCTTAAAAGGCTCTTTTGGCTTGTGATCTTTGACTTTACAAAATTCTGGCAACCCCAGACATCCAAAACACATCCAAGTCTTTGCTTCAATTAATTTTTAAATTTCAATCATGTAATAGCTTTGCTTTAGTGCTGCAAGTAAACATTAATTTAAGACCACTTTTAGGCTTTTCTGTGTGTATTATTGTGGACAGAAGAAGAAAGGATAGTGGATGACAGACGGTCAAACTCTGCAAGTTTCTTGTTTTGACATTGGCCCACAGTATCCTGTGATCAATACATTTTAATATATAATCTATTTTTTTATTGATTAATGAACAAAACATTGTGGTGACCCCATTTGAAATCCATGCGACCCTACGTGGGGTCGGGACCCCAAGGTTGGGAAATCCTGGTGTAAGGGATAGTGACCTCTGAACACAAAAGTACGAGAAACAGATGAAGTGAAGACGGAAAACAGGAAATCTTCTTTTGAAGATATGATCCAAATAGAAATACATTTAATTTGATATTGAAATGGCCACTATGTAATATTAGCCTCTGGGCTGATAGAAATAACAATGTATTTAACTTGGCACTTTCTTTATGGGAAACAAATAAACAGATACATTACAGCTACTCAGGGATGATGTGTGAATTAAAAGCCATTTTGACAACATTTAAGCTGTCAGGTTTTGATATTTAAGGATTCATTCGGTCATAACAGCAGTGTATTTAAAAAGTTTTTGATATAAGCATGAAAGGATGATCAGAGCATCTTTTAGCTGCTAAACGTAGCTTTACAGGCTTCACAATTGTTGTTATACGAGTGATTTTATTTTCTGTTTTGCTTTGGTCTTTGAACAATATGATTTTGTGGATTTCACTGGTTGCATGTGTTCACCACAGGAAGAATAGTTGCTGACTTAATTGTTGCTAAGGGGGATCCCCCCCCAATAAACAATAATATAAATAACCTAAAAAAAAGGTGTGTTGAAATGAAAAACTCAGTTTAAAAAAAAAAAAAAAAAAGGTTAGATAGTTTATTCAAGGGACTTTATTCTGCTGACATTTTTCAGAGAAGCCAAACTTGTCTGAAACACTTTCACACAACATTATCTGTCAATCACAGCTCCTCACACGGTGAGACAGAACACTTTTAGAAAAAATAGACAGCAGTTGTTTTTATGCAGAGATAAACCTCCATTACAGGCAAAAAACAAACAGACAGTAATTATTTCCATTCAACAACCTGATTTAGAGAATGAGAGTTGTTTATTCATCAGATAGGAAACTGATGGAGCGTCATCTAGACTCCCACTTTAGTACAACAAACAGCAAATCACTCCTCTAGAATAAAAATGTGTTTGAAATGAATCCAGGACTGTGAGAACAGTGGTGTTAAATACTTATTCATATTGCATCACTCCAGATTTAGAATCATTGTTGAATCAAAAGCTTTGCACGCAGAGATTCTAATTGAGTAGAAGTGCTTTTCTGTCAATCCACCACTGATTTCAGTAGACACACACATTTCCAACATGAAACTAACAGCTGCTCTACTTGAAGCTTTTTTTAAGCAGCGGAGAAATCGTTCATCTGTTGGCTTAACTCTGGAAGTCAATAAAACTTTGAATATTTAAACCTTATTATAAAATCAACCTTCATCTTTTATGTCCTCTGTGTCAAACCGGAGACTTTTCATGATCCTTATTTTGTTACCACTAAATATCTATTTCCTTCAGTGGGACAACATTTGTGTTAAGAAGCCTGATCTAGTGCACATCTTTCACACAATCGTCTGAAAATCAGACGAGCAAACTAATCACAAACAACCCTGAGGATCACACTCTTCTCAGAAAACAAGAAGGCCAGTCAACAGTTTGTCACAACGAAAGAAAAAAGGAAATAATTTCATCCCCCAAGAAGACAAACCTAAACTTTCACAGTTCTTCGTCCGACTGGAACAAACGTTCAAAAGCAGGAAGACAATTCAAACACAAGGACACAGTCCCTCCGTGGTCCCAGGAGAGACTCAGCTCTGCACACTTTTGTTACAACGCTGCATTCAAGAGAAGACTAGAATTCATGACACGTCGATTATAAAACGGAGGATTGTGTTTCAGGCCTGCAGCTTGGGAAAAGTGCATGCTTTGTATTCTTCACGCAACAGGCTTCATGTATGTTGAACAGCACATGTTGAATAAATATCATTCGCTTATTGTCAGCAAGTTTTCCACCAGAGAGCATGCAATATTGAAAGCTGAAATGTTGCAAAGGTTATAGCTTATTAATAGTATTGCTCTGTAATCCTTCCCTCTATCATTTCTGTCTTGAAATTTCAACTTGAAGCGCCAACTGTTGACAAAAGTTTCAAGCAGAAAAGGCAGCATCAGCACCCTGTATAGCATCTGTTTGGCCTTTAAAATATGAAGACTTACAGCGTCTTAATTTTGCCTGTTTCTCCGACGTGAGACTCTAATTTTTGATGATCTGTAGTTACAGACCCCTCAGCAGATAGACGAAAAGCTATTTTATTGTTTACAAAACAACACCACCTTCGACTAAACCTAATCCACCGGGTAAACACACTTCACATGGTGGCGGGTGGTGCACAACCTCACACCTCAATTGTCTGTGCATTGCTGCAGAATAATGGATATTGCCAGAAGTTGCATCTGCAAAGGTAAAAAGTCAGCTGTCCATCATCAACCCTGCTGCCTCTATAGACTCAGAACACATCTGAAGCCCCCTCCAACAACACAGGGGATCAAGAGCGAACATAAAGCATGGGAGAGAAAGTTAACGACCAACAAATTAAATAAAGTCGTATCTGAAATTTATCTTTTGTTTTTTCAACAACAACAGAGAAACTTTGAGGGGCATCTTAAGATAGAAGTCTATTGACACAGAGTGATAAAACCCATGTCAGTCCAAATGTGAAGGTTTGTATCACCTAAGGCTTCATTTTGTGTTCTAGTGAAATAGAAACTTGAGAGTCACATTTGAGTTGCAGCAGCAGAAATCACTGGCAACAATACAAAACAGTGAGGTCACTCTATTTGTGAGCTGCATTGTTTCACTAAAAGGAGCAGGTTCTGCAAATTGACTTAAGCCCAAAGTTAACCCTTTAATAAGGTCTACATGAAATGGTTTCTTTTTTTTTTTTAGGATTTAGATTGATCCTAAATTTAGCCAAGATTGTCCAACCAAGTCCAAAAGCTCCAGCCTTGTTCCGCACAGGGCGCATTAACCAGACCCAAGTCGAGAAAAGAAGACAGCCAGGTGGTGGTGCCAGGTGGGCTCAAAGGCAGACCTCCGGGCCCGGGTACGGCTCCCCTCCGCACCAGAAATCCGGAGGTTGTGAGATTTCCATTAACCAGACCTCCTTCTCCTTCGGTTCCGTGTTGTTGACATCCGAATCAGTCAGAACCTTGTAATAGTGACAGTCTCTGCCCTCGTCCGGGTCGTACGGCGGAGCAAGGATGTCCATAAACGCCGTGGGACCATCCACGGCGTCGATCTGGTGGAGGTTGTCCCGGTCAGGGGTGAGGACGCACGGCCCGCTTTCCTCTGTGTACTCCCCGGCGCAGCGAAGCACTGACCGCCGCATAGCCCCCAGCTGGGCCGGGGGTAGCGGGGGCACCGCCTGCGGGCTGCCGTCCGCCCGCTCCAGCCTGTCGAAGCAGCTGATCCGGACCTTCCCGTACATTACTTTGAGTATGCCGTGCATTCCCGGGTGGTCGTGC